CCAGAACATATTTTTTTTTAAAACAAGGTTAAAAAATCGTACAAAATTCAGGTTAACCCTCAGGAATTAAAAGGTGAAAGAAAACAAATAAACTAGAATTTGTAACAAGTTTTAGGCCAGTAGAGCTCTAATGGGTTTTAGGTGCATAGTTTTGTTTTTTATGGCAGGACAGAGAAACTGAAGCAGTAGTTATTGTGTAGGGATGATTCTTAATGCTTTTGCAACTTTTCTGTTAATACCAGCGTGGACCCTTCCATATTAGAGTTTCTCAATTCTGTATTAAAGTAAGCAGCTTAATTTCTTACAGAATTGAGCTATTATGCAATTATAAGTATATGCAATTTCTAAGCTACACAAAATGAGGGGAAAAATAAAAATATTCATTAGTATATCAAGCCTTTTTAAAAGCTTGGATATTTACCTTACTCAACAGATTGATTGGCACGGGGCCATTGGAATATATTTTTGCTTTTTTACTGTATTCTCATGTAATTTTTTATATTACGATATAAAACATTTTTTATCATGCAAATGTTGAATATTTTCCTATGAAAACACCTCAATGTTTCATTCTATTGTGCTTAAATGGAGGAAATATTCTGAGATATAAAGATGCAGTTTGGCTCAGATGAAGAATTACACTGTAACAAACCAGAAATTTGTTGTATATTTCTGAGTTGTATGATCTGGTTAAAAACTGAAGCAATACAAACCCTACCCACAGTGAATTTAGCAGAGCATAGTTTAAAAATCAACATCTAGATAGCAAGTCTATTTAAGTAAAAATTCCAACAGAAGTTGATATGATTTAACAGGCCTAATAAACCCAAAATTTGGAGAAAATTTATATGAATTACATTTTCTTAGAAAGTTGCCCTATAATTCAAGCAATGCACTGGGAATTCTACCTTTCGACATGCTAGTATAAAGAATTGTCTAGTAGTATTTTCTAGTTTAAAAAGAAATTTTAAGTGCTGTCTGAAGATTAATAATGTAAAAATGTATAATCAGAAGAACTTAATTCTTCTAAAAACCATCATTGGCTTGTAAAATTGTGTACATTTAATGGGCAAAAAAGTTTGAATGACTGTATATAATATATGTGAAATGAATGTATTAGTTTTTGCCATAAAAATAAATATTGAAGATATAACTCATGTGTGAATATATTAGTACAATTAAAGCTATTTTGCTTGTGTTTTTTTCACTCTAGATCTTATTGCATGGAGGCATATAATTAGTCCCATTTCCCCACTGGATTATTCTTTATATTAAATAATTAATTTATGAGAGAGAGCGCGAGAGTGTGAGCATACGGGTACACACATGGGAGGAGGGGCAGAGGGAGAGGGAGAGAGAGAATGTTAAGCAGGGCTCCACGCCTAGCACAGAGCCCCATCTCACGACCCTGGGATCATGACCTGAGCTGAAATCAAGAGTTGAGCACTTAAGTCAACTGAGCTGCCCAGGCATCCCCTCTGCTGGATTATTTTAAATAATCTGGGGCACCTGGGTGTCTCAGATGGTTAAGCGTCTGCCCTCGGCTGGGGTCCTGGGATCGAGCCCGTGGGGACCATGCTTCTCCCTCTCGTTCTACTCCTCCCCCCTGCTTGTGCTCTCTCGCTCTGTCAAATAAATAAAATCAGAGAGGAGAAGAGGAGGGGAGGGGAGAGGAGAACTCCTCACACCCCCAGCCCTGGAGTGGAGCTTTTTTTAGACCAGCAACAACAGCACTGGAAACTTGTTAGAAATTCAAATTCTCTTGGGGGTGCCTGGGTGGCTTAGGGATTAAGCGTCTGCTTTCCGCTCAGGTCATGATCCCGGGGTCCCAGGATCAAGCCCCACATCGGGCTCCCCGCTGAGTGGGGAGCCTGCTTCTCCCTCTGACCCTCTCCCCTCTCATGCTCTCTTGCTCTCTCTCTCTCTCTCAAATAAATAAAATATTTTAAAAAAGAAATTCAAATTCTCCAGGGTTGTCCCAGGTCTGAAAATTCCGAATCCAAAGCTAGCGGGGAGGAGGCCCAGAAATCGGCCTTCACAAGTTCTCCAGGTGATTCTGACGTGCATTCAGCGTGAGAACCACTGCTTCCGTAACTTAAAAAGCCACAGGGGTTCCAGAGATCTCAAGTTGGGATTCCTTACACAGCCAGATGTGAACATCACCTCACGTGGCAAAAGGGATTTTGCAGGAAAAGATTTTGTTTATTTGACAGAGAGAGACACAGCGAAGAGGGAACATAAGCAGGGGGACTGGTAGATCATGACCTGAGCCGAAGGCAGACACCCAACCGACTGAGCCATCCAGGTGTCCCAAGGTTTTAGTTTTAATATGCCAAAGTTAGCCTTGGCTTAATTCCTAGGGGCTTTAGAAATTATCGTTGAGCTAATGAAGATCTAGAAGTAGCTGGTTACCCTTCATGCGCTGGTCCAGCTGTGAGGGCATCGAGCCCCACGTTGGTCTCTGCTTCTCTCTCTCCCTCTGCTGCTCCCCCTGCTCGTGCTCTCTTGCTCATTCTCTCCTCTCTCAAATAAAATCTTAAAAAAAATAAAATCTTTGGATCATTTAGTCCAAACCCTTAAACCAGGGCCCAGGGTAAATTAATTTCACAGGCAACCGCGCAACTAATTGATCCACTTGGCAAATTGTCTTGCCCTGTAAAAGCTGCTCTGATCTTTTCTGGTTGGCTTCACTGGGGGAAAAAAAAATGTGAGTTTTAAAAGTAAGGCTTCTCAGGAAGATGCTAATTTATATTTTATACCATGTAAAATGTGAACAAATGAGGAAATTTTCTTGTAATTTAGCAGTTTGCTACATTCTCCCTTCCATGGGGGAATTTGCACTTTGAGTGTTTTCCCCCTAACCTCCCCTGTGCCTAAGCCTCTCCTCGAGCTTCAACTATCTCCCTCCATGAACAAATGCATTCATTCTCAAGCAGACAATGACCTGGGATCCAAAGAGAAATAAGTCTTTCATCTTAAGAAGCCCATAGTCTAGACCAGAGAGAAACTAGGCACATAAACAATATTATAATTCATACTATAGATCTGAGAGATCCCAGATCCCAGAGCAAGTGGGACAAATGTTAGGGCAATCAGACAAGGTCTCATGGTGTTACAATCTGGGCTGTCAGCAAAGGCCCAAGAGGGCGGTACAGGGGAAACGATATTCTGAGCTGGTAGCAAGTATGAAGGGGTGGGGGGTGGAGAGAGAGAGAGAGAGGGAGAGAGGACCTCTGCCATGTTTAAGGAACAAGTAATTCGATGTGCTAGACAATTAGGATGTTTGGGGGAGGATGGCAGATGAGCTGGGAAGGAGAATGACTTAATAAAGAATGGAAAGGGACCTGGACTTTATCTTGTCAGCAAGAGGAAACTCTCAAATGTGGTTGTTTTTGAAGGGAGTGGTGACATGATCTGCGTTAGAACAGCAGCTGTGAATATTTAATTCACATACAACCTATTTAGTTCTTAGAGCCCAGCAGTGAAGGCTCCGAAAATTACGCACATTCAACAGCCGAGGCCGCCCACAGAGGCTGGTGACCCAGCTTCCGGTCACAGCTCGCAAGGATCAAACCCAGGCAGTCTGTCTCAAAGGCTCACTCCTCACGCCTCCAGAGAGCGGAGCGAAGGATGGACTGCGGGAGGAGGGAGGAGAGGGAGAGAGTAAGACGCTGTGGAAGACTCTAAGCCAGTGTTTCCCAAACTTAACATGCACACCCCACCTTTGCACTTTTGCCAGAACCAAGAACCACTTTTGATATTTCTTTAAACCAACACATCTACGCTTGAATTTTAAAGGGAAACCTGAGGACAACGATGACGACGACAACCACCACAACAAAATACCCTAAAAGGTACAAAAATGAGGATGGGTCATGGTCCTAGAGACAAAAAGCTGTACCCAGAGTTAGAGGGGTCCCAGACATGGCAAAGCAGGAAATGGCGGGTCTGAGGCTGAGCCCAAAGTGTGGAGAACCAGCAAGAAGCCAGTTACTGAGAACCCCTTAAGCAAGATGGCAGCTCCAGGAAAGGGAGGAAAGTCGGAGCCAGGGCAGTAAGTCTGAGGTAGTTGCATGGATAATAGGGTAAGGGGTTTGTGGAAAAGTGACGCTGGGACTGAAGAAAGGAGCCCTGGGGGCTGAGAGAAGGATGGAGCCCAAAAAGAGAGGGGTGACTGATGGGGAGACCCAGGCTGGGAGCCAAGCATAGGGTTGAGGATCTTTTAGGAGACTGAAGAGGATTGTAGGATGGGAAAGGAAGGGGGTTGCTCAGAAAGTTGGGAGGGGCGGAGAATTCCACAGGTGGGAGCTGAGGGGTAGGTGGGGCTGAGGAAGGGCTGCAGCAGGGTGACTTGGGGCCTAAGATATTGGGGGAGAAGTGGGTTGGGTGCTCAGCCCCTCTATACTGTACTTTGCAGGTTGTCCCTGAGCCTGAATCCTGAACACAGTGGTGACAGTCAGCTTCCCATGAGTGAGATAGATCTTCACCTATATACCACCAGAAATCAGCTCTAATACCTCCAGTGGTATGCACTACCTTTGTGGAAACACTGGTGTGGGCAGGGGATGATAAAAGCCTGAGTTGAAGACTGGAATACTTGGGGGCCATTGCTAAGTTTCTAGAACATCTGGGTTATCATCATTATTTTGTTTCATCTTTTTATCCTTCATAGTCCCTAGGCATGAAACTGGGACTCGAATATTCCATTATCGTAAGCAGTTGAAAAAATATGAATAGAGGTAAGTCTTCTGAGACATATCTTTTTTTTTTTAAAGATTTTATTTATTTAGTCGACAGAGACACAGTGAGAGAGGGAACACAAGCAGGGGGAGGGGCAGAGGGAGAAGCAGGCTTCCCACTGAGCAGGGAGCCTGATGTGGGGCTCGATCCCAGGACCCTGGGATCATGACCTGAGCCGAAGGCAGACGCTTAATGACTAAGCCACCCAGGCGCCCCTGCTGAGACATATCTTAATAGTAAATATCCCACTCATGAACTACAAGGCCAAGAGAGTATCAAACTGGGTTGATAGAATGTTTGCCCTCATTAAGAAGGGACAATTTTTCGGAGCTGACACTCTGCCTAGCTCACTGATAACTAGAAAGGCCTTGAAGCTTTAGATATTGCAGGAAAGTGAGACAGAAGAAATTAAAGATACTACAGATAAGGCTTAATGTTTCAAGATCCATGCCAGATCATAAACCATTTCCCATTGCATACAAAATCACTTATGTCTGGGTAAAGTATTGTCCCCTGAAAAGCAACTTTAGAGATCGTGGCCAACAGATCGTAGGGGGACCCCGTGATTCTCACCTTCTGGCATTCATACCCTTGTATAATATCTCTACTCCTTAAGTGTGGGCAGGATCTGTGACTTGCCTCTAACTAAAAAAAGGTAGCAAAGGTGATGGAAAGTCGTTCCTGTGATTACATTATGTAATATCTCACTAGCCTTCAAGAAGCAAGCAGCGATGCTGTGGCTGCTTACCAAGTGGTAGGGAATGGTGGGCAGCCTCTAGAAGCTGAGGGCAGCCGATGGCCTGCAAAAAAAAAGCCCTCAGAGCTACAGCTCAGGGAAAGGAATTCTGCCAACAACCTGCAAAGAGTTTGGAAGCAGATTCTTGCCCCAGTCAAGTCTCCAGATGAGACCGTAGCCCCAAATGACACTGGCTTGTAGCCTTGAGACCCAGAGCAGACACATCTAAGTTATGCCCAGACTCCTGATACACAGAAATTGTGGGATAAATAATACATGTGTGTAGTTTTAAGCTGCTAATTTAAGGTACTTTATTATAGAGCATAGAAAGCAAATACAGAAGTCTTAATATATGAAAGAATAAAACAAAGGAAAAGGAATATTGAATTACTGGCCATTTGGGATATTTATTAATGAAGATCACACATCCAAAGGTCAGTCCTCAATGCTCATTTCCATGATTTTAAGAGTCGGTCCTGCCATGTCATGACTGTTGTCATCTTGGACACTGTGAAGCTGAAGAGCTGGGGAGAGTTCTGTGCTAAGACAACATAATTCATTTGAAGTCTCTGCCTTTTCAGTGTCACTATCCCCTTCAATGACATTCACAGAGGTCTCTTGGTCCGTTAAGCTGTCAGAGACACTCGGATTTTTGTCATCCCAAACTGAAGGTCCAAGGTTTGTTTCATCATTCACTTGTTGAATTATAACCCCTTCTGAGTACTTTGATTTATAGATGGGTAGGAAAAATTCATTTGGTGAAGACAGTCTCTCATTTTCATCCTTTGGTACAGACAATAACATATCCAAAGCTTTTTGGTATTCTTGACGTTCCTGCTGAATTGTGGTATCATGTTTACTTTTATCTTCATTTTCTTCTGAATTCTCAGCCTGTTCAAAATCAAGTAAATTCAGCATATCAGTATCATCCAGCTTTACTGAGTTTTCTCTGGATGTGCAGCCTAAGTCCACCTTCAGGACATGCAGCAGATGGCGCATTTTTTCCTAGGATTAAGCAAGACGGGAATAATTACATTAATTAGGCTCGTCAAATTGAATTACTTTTGTCTGCAGTGCTGCTCATCTCAGCAGGGTTAATACTTCTTTCATCACCCACCCCCCGCACCCCACCATACACACAAAAGGTACAAGGGAAAAACAGCACTTGCTTTTAATGCATTTTTTGAGGCTATGGAAAAACTTTAAAATTCTTTCCATATTAGAATTTTTTCTAATGAATGTCTAAAGAAAGACAAACCTCTTCCAAATGATGTTTATTTTGTTTTATGTGTCGCTCAAATAGGTGTTCTAAAAACCTAAAAATGATAAATAGAAATGTTAATGTCTCAAAATCAGAAAATCAATTAAATACAAAATAGCCATGCAACAACAGAACTACTAAAGGTTGAAGAGTATTTTCTTTCCAAAGCTAAACACTTAATCCTTCCCTGTTCTGTCAAGTTCTCCAATTTGGGAGCTAGTATGGCTTTTGTTTTTGTTTAACTTTTGTAACAGATGCCATTGTTTCTGAAAGATTATATAACACTTACATTTCTGTGAAAATATTTTAAAAGAGGTCCAACAATACCCCTGCCACACACCAAAAAGCATGTTTTCCCTCTCACGCATCTATGCAAACACCAAAAGCCTCTCCCTCCCCTTCTCTTTCACATACACAACCCCCCAAACCAAACCCTAAAGGAAATTCTCTTACAGTTATTTTACAATGCTTCCTCAATTATACTTGAAAAAAAATTCCACTGATGGTAAATCCACATAATAACCTAAAAGCCATCACTCATCACATACCACCAAGGGCCAGACATCTGTGCCACATACACAATCATTATACCTCTAATCACGACCAGTTTTTGGAGAGAAAGGTATTGTAAAGATCATTTTAAAGATGAGAAAATGATCGAAGATGATGACTTCCTCTCTCCTAAGGTCACAAGCCATTAAGCGAATTTAACCCAGATGTGTCTGGCTCCAGAGAAATTATTTTTCAACTGCACTATGCTTGTCTTGTTATCACATGAATGTATCAATACCTTTGCTGAAACACAACTCCTTTGTTACCATTTGTTATTATCAATGAAGTAAGCCAATCTTAGATTTAGTAGTTCTGCTTTATTCAGCAATTTTTAAAATGTCAAGTAGTGTTAAATATATTCACATTGTTATGAAACAGACCAATAGAACTTTTTCATCTTGCAAATTTGAAACTCTATAACCATTATGAAAACATTTTTAGCCACCTTTTTTAAACAAAAGTAGTAAACAGAATTATTATAAAAAAAAAAACTTAGGGGCTCCTGGGTGGCTCAGTTGTTTAAGCGACTGCCTTCGGCTCAGGTCATGATCCTGGAGTCCCGGGATTGAGCCCCGCATCAGGCTCCCTGCTCAGCCTCTGACTCTCCCCCCTCTCATGATCTCTCTCTATCATTATCTCTCTCAATAAATAAATAAAAATCTTTAAAAAATAAAACAAAACAAAAAACAAGAAACTTAGGTCTTTTTTTTTTTTTTGAAGATTTTATTTATTTATTTGACAGAGAGAGACACAGCGAGAGAGGGAACACCAGCAGGGGGAGGGGGAGAAGGAGAAGCAGGCTCCCCGCAGAGCAGGGAGCCCGATGTGGGACTCAATCCCAGGACCCTGGGATCATGACCTGAGCCGAAGGCAGTCGCTCAACTGACTGAGCTACCCAGGCGCCCCGAAACTTAGGTCTTTTAGTGTATCTTTTTATAGCAATAATACAAATGTTTAATTAAAAAAAACTTCACATAAGAATAGAAATAATTCATTAGAAATGTTGTACTTGACATATTTCAACAGGGAAAGCATGTAGTATAAATAATGGAGTTCTATGATACATAATGTTAAGTGCACCTTTGTGCCCAGTGAACTTTAGATAAATAATGTTCAAGCTGATTCAGGACCACATAGTTTCCTTAAGATATGCAATATCTAATCTGGTTTTGCAAACTTCCCATTTCACTTACAGTGTATAAACCTAGTTTTTAATTTGTTCTCACTTTACTAGTAACAGTTTTAACAAAAATGCTTGCTTTTGATTCTCATGACAAGTTTCAAATAGTAAAATAAGATGATGGATCTTTGCAAATAAGCAAAAATTTGGTTCACCAGTCTATTACAACTAAGAGATATAGTGTTTGTTTTTGCATAGTTATAATTTTTTTTTTGTAGGCTCTGTGGGATTTTTACATGGATGTAATGTCTGTGAATAAAGACAGTTTTACATCTTTCTTTCAAATATGGATATCATTTTCTTCTTTTTTTTTTTTTGAAGATTTTATTTCATTATTTGCCAGAGAGAGAGAGAGAGCACAAGGAGGGGGAGCAGGGAGGGAGAGGGAGAAGCAGACTCCCCACTGAGCAGGGAGCCCGATGTGGGGCTGGATCCCAGGACCCTGGGATCATAACCTGAGCCAAAGGCGGATGCTTAACTGACTGAGCCACCCAGGCAACCCTCATTTTCTTCTTTTCTTTTTTTTGTGATAGATTTTTGAAGATTTATTTATTTAATTTTTAGAGAGAGAGAGAGCATGAGCTGGAGGGGCAGAGAGAGAATCTCAAGCAGACTCCATGACGAGTGGGGAGCCTGATACGGGGCTTGATTCCACGACCCTGCTATCACAACCTGAACTGAAACCAAGAGTCAGACACCCAACTGTCTGTGTCACCGAGGCGCCCCGTGATGGATTTTTTAAATTGAGGTGTACACTAACCTTATATTAGTGTAAGGTATACAACATGATTCAATATTTGTTTATACTGTAAAATAATCACCAAATAAGTCTAGTTAACATCCATCATCACACAGTTACAGAATTTTTTCTTGTGATGAGCACTTCTAAGATGTACTCTCTCACAGGGGTGCCTCGGTGGCTCAGTCGTTAAGCGTCTGCCTTCAGCTCAGGTCATGATCCCAGGGTCCTGGGATCGAGCCCCACATCGGGCTCCCTGCTCGGGGGGAAGCCTGCTTCTCCCTCTCCCCCTCCCCCTGCTGGTGTTCCCTCTCTCGCTGTGTCTCTGTCAAATAAATAAATAAAATCTTTTTTTTTTTTTTTAAAAAAAGATCTACTCTCTCACAAAGTACTTTCAAATACGCAACAGAGTACTATGAACTACAGTCGCCATTCTATACGTTACATCCCCATGACTTATTTATTTTATAACTGAGAGTTTTACCCTTTGACTACCTTTGCCCATTTCGCCTACCCCCACCACTGGCAACCACCAATCTGTTCTCTGCATCTAAGAGAAATAACAGTATTTAAATGAATAAAATCTGTTCTTTTCTGTAACTCCCCCAAACTGTGAACTTGCCTTATACGGTAAGAATTAAACATTCTTTATAATTTGCTATCAATTATAAGAATATGTCCCCCTAAGGGGCGCCTGGGTGACTCATTCAGTTAAGCATCCGACTTTTGGTTTTGGCTCAGATCACAATCTCAGGGTCGTGAGATTGAGCCCCACATCAGGCTCCATGCTCAGTGAGAAGTTTGTCTCCCTCTCCCTCTGCCCCTCCCCCCACTTGCATGCTCTCTCTCTCAAATAAATAAATCTTCTTTTATTTTTTATTTTTAAAAAATATTTTATTTATTTATTTGACAGAGAGAGTGCACAAGCAGGGGGAGTGGCAGGCAGTGGAGAGAAGCAGGCTCTCCACTGAGCAGGGAACCCGATGTGGGGCTCGATCCAGTACCCTGGGATCATGACCTGAGCCGAAGGCAGACACTCAACCGACTGAACCACCCAGGTGCCCCAATAAATCTTTTTTTTTTAAATACGTCCTCCCCAAGAAAGCAATATAATTTTTCATTTCCTAATATGTAGAAATAACTTAAAGGAATTAACATGATAAGGAAGAATATTTAATGTACTATTCAACCACCATAATATAATTTAAAAAATCTAACCTGTTTGAAAATAAACCAAGTTTCAAAATTTCATCTGTTACATCTTCAATGAAACTCAGATATAACAGTTCTTCTTCACTGTGAAAACAAAGCAGTACACAGCATAAAAATTATTTCCTACTTACACTGAAAACTATAGGAAACACGAGTACCTAATTAAAAGTATCTACCACTACTAGGACAAATATACTGCTATCTCACATTTAAGAGGAATGTTATAAAAAAAACCCTTATGTCTACATTCTTAAATTATGCAAAGAAAGATGAGAAAATGTTCCCTAATCAAGTAAAATTTCATAGATGTGTATAGCATCCATTCAGTACTAACAGACAAGCAGGAATTAAAACAGCAAACAAACAAAAACCAATAAAAAAAACTAAAAAAAACCCCACACACAAAACAAACAAAAAACAAAACAGAGCAACCAAGGACAAAAGGGCAACCAAATGTGAACCACTGGGGGTGTGTGTTCTTGACAAGCATTTTACAGGTCCTGACTCCTGACCATGTCAAGCAGCAGAGGTGTGAGCCCTGTGCATGGCACTTAGAGGAGGGGAAAGACGAAACTCATCCAGAGAAGCAAGAACTTCAAGTATGAAATCCTCTTCTGCTCCTAGAAGAGCATCTTGTTTGAAGGTTGGGAAATTTATTGAGCAGAAAAAATTATTCTTTTTTTCTCAAAATGTATGGAGAGGAAAAAAAATATGATAGTAGAGAAATTTATGTATATAAATACAGTGATAATTTTTAATTATGTGGGCACATTTCTTTATATTTTAATAACTAGTACAAGAAAATGGAACATTATTATAAATTTGATTTTAATTAGCTGAAATCAGTGAATTGATAGAAATGTAAGTAGCAAGCAACCACACAATTACTCAATAAGTAAATGTAAGGGGAAGAATTAAGAAAATTAGATAATAGAAGATTAAAATGTTATATAAAAAGTTACACTTTCAAACTGATTTTCAGGCTCTAATATTTAAGCAGCAAGTTTGAGAATAAATGAAACTCTATAAAATAGATGATATTCCCTGAAAAAGTGTACCTTAACTAAAACGACATTAAAACATAGAAGTATGCTATCTGTAAAGACCTGGTGGTTAGAAACTCCTGGAAGGGTATCCTGAGCTATCCAAAGTCTGCATTTCTCTAAAACTCTTGTTATTCTTATTTATTTTTATGGGTACTAATTATATAAAAAAACAACCAGCAGGCATTATTAACTTAGGGACAAATTTCCCCTGGACATAAAGATGAAGTGATTGATGACTACTTCAGAAAATTCTGATCATTCTCAAATTTAGGGTATATTATATGATTGAACTCCAAAGCTAGTTGTAAGAGAAATCAGTATTCAGTCCAGACTTATTTAATAATAGTTTGTGTGATTTTTAATTCTTGATTTCCACTAAGCAAAATGAAGAGGTCAAAAAGATCTTACTCAGAGTGGAGTTTTCTCTCTGGAGGAAGCTGCAGGGAATACTGACGTACTGCCCTGGAAAGAGAAAATTACAATATTTGAACAAAACAATGACTGGCATGCAATAAGTATTCAATAATATTATATATTAGTAATAATGTATTTTAGAATTTTTAAAGTACTTTCATATCCATGATCTGATCTAATATTCAGAACAACCCCGACTGGTATATTGGGTAGGTATTATTTTTTCCACTGACTGATGAGTTCACCAGGGGGCAGAATGGTTGGCTAACTTGCCAAGGACAGGTGTTAGTAAGTAGCAAAGATATTTTTAATTAGTCTTCTGACTACAAATTCACTGTATGTATGTATGTATGTATGTATGTATGTATGTATTTACTAGGCTCCACGCCCAGTGTGGGGCTTGAACTCACCACCCTGTGATCAAGAACTGAGCTGAGATCAAGAGTGGGATGCTTAACTGACTGGGCCACCTCGGTGCTCCCACAATCCTTTTCCAAACTGGACTACAGCACTTACCTAGTACACACAATTTCACTTTGACTAAGGTTAACATATAAATAATGGGGGAAACAGATTACTTCCCCATGAAAAACTGTTTTAAGTTGGTCATCATGATAAATTTTGTCAATATTTAGTTATGTCATCATTAGTTAATTCCAATCTTTTTATTCAGGTATGCTCGATTATAAATATTTTTACTTCTTTTAGATAGAAACTACTAGAAAAGATAAATATTCCTTTCTTTAGGCCATTCTTTATATTCATTTGCAGAGTGGCTCAAGAGTTAGCTTATAAATCTTGTTATGAGTACTGAAGCATCATGAATTTCAAGACAAGAGAGGTTAGCAGTGAACCGCCCACAGCCCTGCCAGGTGCCGTCTCCCTGGGCAGGCTCTGAGGGATCACATGTGCTGGCCTTCTGGTCTGCTCTATGACACCTCATTCTTGCCCTCTTTTTAATCTCTAGTCCTTTATTTACACCTTCTTCATCTCATATACAATCTCTGACACTGGACATACATTTGACAGCTGAAACTACCAGAGGCATTTTTGCTAACCTATTATTTTTATCTAGGTGTAGTATTCCGTAATTACTAAATATGATGCATAGTTTTTAAAAACAGTGCCAGTACACGGCAGTGACAGATAAAACACTAGCATATGGTGAATGTTCAAAATCATGAATTATGAATCCTCAAATCGTGAGGTTCCTCAGTATTATTTCTGCCACAGATTTTGTCTTCAGGAAAATCCTTTTCCCCTTCCTTCCTCCCTCCCTCCCTTCCTCCCTCCCTTCCTTCCTCCCTCCCTCCCTTCCTTCCTCCCTCCCTCCCTTCCTCCCTCCCTCCCTTCCTTCCTCCCTCCCTCCCCCTCCCTCCCTTCCTTCTTTTCCCCTCCCTTCCTTCCATCCCCCCTCCTTCCCCCCTCCCTCCCTTCCTTCCTTCCTCCCTCCCCTCCTTCCTTCCTCCCTCCCTTCTTTTCCCCTCCCTTCCTTCCTCCCCCCTCCCTCCCTTCCTTCCTCCCTCCCTCCCTTCCCCCTCCCTCCCTTCCTTCCTCCCCCCCCTTCCTTTCTTCTTCCCTCCCTCCCCCTCCCTCCCTTCCTTCTTTTCCCCTCCCTTCCTTTCTCCCTCCCCCCCTCCCTCCCTTCCTCCCTCCCTCTCTCCCCCCCTCCTTCCCTCCCTTCCAAGTGTGCAAGTGTACAGGGGGCGGGGGGGGGGGGCAGAGGGAGAGAGAGAGAATCTTAAGCAGTCTCCACACCCAGCACGGAGCCCAATGCGGGGCTTGATCTCATGACCCCAGGATCATGACCCGAGTTGAAATCAAGAGTTGGACACTTAACCAACTGAGCCACCCAGGTGCTCCAGGAAAATCCTTTTTCATAGGAATAGCAATGGCAAATAATACAAGCCAGTATCGCCTTTTTCTTTCTTAATGAATTAGCAAAATGAATTCATTTAAACTTTTCTTGAGTACCTACTTTGTACAATTTCCTTAGTGAAACTAACACTGCCGCTGAACTGTGTAACACTAAAATAGATTGGAGTGCATGTAATTAGAGTAGTACTTATGTTGCAAATATTATATGTCTGTTACACAGGAAAGCAGTTAAATAGACAGTTGTAGCGACTTCTGTAACCCGCTTACCTTGGTGAGGAACGCTGAAGAGTGCCATCTTTATTCTCATCCCACGGTAAGTCATGCCCTTGTAAGGGTAAAGGAGCTATTTTTCCTCTGATATCATATGTCATACAATTAGATGCCTGGGGATGTAATGAGAAGACTCAATCTTTGCTTTGCTTCAAAAATACATCATGAAAGCGGAAATAAAGCAAAATAGCAAATTTCAAAAAAGTCAAGGAAGCAGAGGGGAGATATCCCATAGGAAAAAGGGCTGATACAGGGCACCCGGGGGGCTCAGCTGGTTGGGCGACGGCCTTCGGAGTCTTACAGGGTTAGGATCGGCATTTGGATCACAATGCCATGAACGTGGACTTCGGCTTCAGTTTATTTAGTTGTCTAGAGAGCTGGCTGTCTTCCTAAATCTCAAGCTAGTCATAGCCATCATGACTGAGGCCTTCTCAGGCTAGGCACTTTATGCCTATGCCTCCAATGAGCCTACATGTTGAGTAGTTTTTCTAGATGTGAAAATTCAGCTCTCAGAGGATAAGCGATTTGTCCTTGAGCTTTGAGTGGCAGGGCCCATGTCAAACAGGTATTTATGGCTGAGATGGAAACCGACAATTCTCTACCCACATTCAGAAGAGAAGACAGAAGTTCAGTGTGATTATATTCTTTTATCCCCGAAATCTGTTTGACATTTTATTAAATACTTCTTTTTAAAAGGTTTTATTTATTCATGAGAGAGAGAGAAAGGGAGGGAGAGAGTGTGCATGAGTGGGGGGTGAGGCAGAGGGAGAACCAGACTCCTGATCCCAGGACCCTGAGATCACGACCTGAGCTGAAGTCAGATGCTTAACCAAATGAGCCACCCAGGTGCCCCTGTGTTTGATATTTTAATAGACAAACTGTTTTTATAAACCATAAATTTAAAATAGGACACAAGTGTATGATTAATACACCGAAAATAAAAATAATATATGAAAATCAGACTTAAAGCTGTAATATTTTAAAAGAAATGACTGCTAACCACTCAAAACATAAACACTATAAAAAAAGAGCCTTATGGTCTAGAAAAAAGTAAAAGCAAATATAAGAGAATGATACCATCTATTCTTATATAATTTCCAATAATCAGTGGCAAATAAAAAAAAAATACAGGCACAGAAACTAAAAACTTCCGTATAGCTTTTCTGGCTCCTTCAGTGATCCAAGTCTATATCTTTGAAAGCAACGTTTAAGGTATTTTATTCATTTATTCATCTCTCTAGCCAGCCAACCAACCATCTAGAAAAAGTGCTAGCATCAGATGATTTCCCAGACTGGGCAGGATCCATCTGGCCACTCAAAGAGAGCTACAGCCATGTATAAATAGGTAGTCCTTCTCTATACTGGCTACATTATCTGCAAGAAGTGTCACCAGAAGATTATTCAAGTCCAAACAGCTATATATATTTTATTAAATTAAAGCAGCTGTAATTCCAATGTGGCACACAAAGAGATCTCATTTTTATTACCTGCTTTGTGTTCTCTTCTGAATCTGTGAAGTTCTTGGTGTCAACTGTCTCAAAATCAGATTTAAAGCTGTAATATTTTAAAAAGGAGCAATTGTCAAGCCTTCAAAATACAAACACCCTGATAAGTTTACAGTCTTAAAAAACCTCTCACACATAAGAGATGAAATCCATCTATTCTTATAAAATGTGTAATTTCTAATTATATAATCAGGAAATAGACATGGTTTGGATTACACAGCTTATTTTTCCTTTTTTTTTTGAATAGCAGCTAGATTTCCACTGGATAGAATGGGACTAGGGAAATGGGAACTATTAATCCTCAAAAGCTATCATACATACAATTAGAAAAGGATACCATATGCTTGCTTTCCTTACTTCTCCCCATTCCTTAATTCTTGGGATTAAATGAATGCAGAGTCATCTGATATTACTGTACCTCTTATCTACACCCAGAGAAAAGAATACTAGTCCTAAATTGTTTTTTTGCTTTCTTAAAAATAACTAAAACCTAGGACCAGGTAAATAGTTGTTTAAATAACACCAGGAGCAATAATCACAAATCAGTTAACACTTAATACTTTATAAGATTTGTTTGTTTCTTTAATCATTTGGCAAACTTTTACTGAATATTCATTATGTGTCAGGCACCATCAAATATGAAAATATTATTGAGGCAAATTATACTTAATTTCCAGAAATTATCCCACTTGGCTAAATTATTCCTGGGGAGTTGTTGCTATGTAAGAGTGGGTTTGAATATTTGCAGGAAGGGAACCCAGGGAGAGTCAGAGAAACAGTGTTTTTTTCCTTGATAGCCCATTGTTTTGCCGTTTTTAACACAAATCTATAGACATATTTACACAAATACTAGTTGATGACATATTTTAAGGATTCTCTGAAAGTATATTTAAAAGCATATACCATGTTTGAAACAATAAATTAAAATATGTAATATTCCTGTTTATAAGGAGCTTGACAAGTTTAATAACTACTTTTCAACCATTACTCAGGTAGTTCTAGTGATACATACAAAAGGAAAAGTGACATTAATCTCATCCAGTTCAAAAGGGCACTACCAGACCTTAAGTCTGACACATTAGGTACATGATATAAAATAAGAAATATTATTTAATTCTACAACACCCTGAAGGACTTACTACTGGCTGTGAATGTGCCATACCTGCTTAATTCAGTCTGGGTTTCAGCTTCTATCCGCTGGTCTGTAAAATCCTTTTTTCTTTTGGCAGGCGTATAGTATCGATAATGTGACAGGAAAGACTTTGCTTCTGTTTTTAAAGTGCGTGGAGTGAATGGCAAATGTCTGTTGGAAAAGAGTTCAGAATGTTTATCCAAAAGGTCCCCACTGGGTGCTTTTGAAATAACTAACTGAAACCGATGGGTATTTGGGAATGTGCTCTTGGGCCCTTTGCCGTATGAAGTTCCAGAGCATGCTCTCCTGGGCCCAGAGGCAGTGTAATCCATGTTGAACACGGAGGAACTGGAGTTCTTCTCGGTACCATTTGTGAGGACTTTATCAGATTTAGGTAGATTTAGGTGTAGTCTCTCTGAAGAAGTTACTGGTGACCTTGGTGACCTTGTAAAGGATGGAAATCCATTCACTTCTCCAATTAACACATCTTCATCTTGTGGTTCTCCTGAGGGCTAAGAACGTTTGGTTTGATTGTCATCAATTATGTTTACAAATTCACCTAATTGGGAATCTCCACATTATACACCAAAAATAGTTGCCTTAGTGGGTTTAGAGATCATATATTCCTGAAGATGTTAGCACTATATATGAAGTTCTGTTCACGGTTTTGAATTATTAATATATAAAAATATAATTCTAAATATAAGTAATAGCAATCATTTTTTTTTAGAAGATTTTATTTATTTATTTGAGACAGAATGAGAGAGAGAGAGAGCACATGAGAGGGGGGAGGGTCAGAGGGAGAAGCAGGCTCCCCGCCGAGCAGGGAGCCCGATGCGGGACTTGATCCCGGGACTCCAGGATCATGACCTGAGCTGAAGGCCGTCGCTTAACCGACTGAGCCACCCAGGCGCCCCGCAATCATTTTTTTTTAAAGATTTTATTTATTTGAGAGAGTGAGTAAGACAGAAAGTGGGAGAGAACACAAGTGGGAGGTAGGGGCCGAGGGAAAGAGAGAAGCAGACTCCCCACTGAGCAGGGAGCCCAAAGCGGGGCTCAATCCTAGCACCCTGGGATCACGACCTGAGCTGAAGCCACTTAGGTGCCCCAGCAATCATTTTTCTTTCTGAAACTAAAAAAAAATAATTACTAACATCTACCTACATTTATGGTCTTGAACTTGTGTACTGAGATCAGGTAGATCTCAGTTTTATCTGAAAATTTCCAAACCACTCTTGAACACCAATCCCCTTCTCAATCACGCTGTTGGTGGTGGCAAAATGAAAAGGAACTTCTCAACTTCTCCTCATGAGTGGGGAAAGCTGAAAGGGAAGACGTTTTGGACTGCTCCATTTCCTTCTGGTTTAATTTTGGAAGAACCATTTCTACAGGGTATCCACAAAGTCTTAAAACATAGATAATATTTTATTCTTTTACAGATTAGATGCCCAAGATGCAATGAGTATGATTCCAGGCTTTATGGACACCTGTGTATCCTTTTTTTTTTTTTTTAAAGATTTTATTTATTTGACAGAGAGAGACACAGTGAGAGAGGGAACACAAGTAGGGGGAATGGGAGAGGAAGAAGCGGGCTTCCTGCCGAGCAGGGAGCCCGATGCGGGGCTCGATCCCAGGACCCTGGGATCCTGACCTGAGCTGAAGGCAGACGCTTAACGAACGGAGCCACCCAGGCATCCCAAACACCTGTGTATCCTTTAAAGGACTTTGAGGCACTTTATTAGGTAGAGGGAAGTTACATGGAAGTTACAGATTCTGAGGTGACATGGCTAGGAGTTAGCTATTGCCTCTGCCCTCCAAGCTCATGGGGAGAGAAACAAGAGGAAGATGAACAAGCTGAGTAAGAGAATGGCTGAGTGCTTCCTGTGTGAAAGGTACTGTTCTTGCCACTGAGTAGGATAAAAGAGGACAATTAAGAACTTCTATCACTGCTACTAGTAAGTTACTATGCTATGTATAAGGTATAGTTCGAAGTAATTTACATGCACAACTCATTTAATCCTCACATCAACTTTTGGGTGGTGATGATACAAATACTACTTTTATTTCATAGATGAAGAAACTCAGGTGGTGCAGGGTCTCAGAGTCAGACCAGGCTGAGCCTATGCTCTTCATTACATCATATTGTCTATTATGAAGACGCATCTGAAAATTATATATTTTAGATTTTTTTTTAAGTGAACTCTACCCTCAATGTGGGGCTCAAACTTGACTCCAAGATCAAGAGCTGCATGCTCTACTGACTGAGCCAGCCAGGTGTCCCTGTATTTTAGATTTTTTACACCATGAGGAATTTTAAACTGATTTTAACTCTTTTTCTGATGGTGAAACTGTCAACTAATCGAAGTACTGATTCATCTAAGTAAGAAAAATGCAGATGACTTACTTAGACTGCATACTGTAACTAAAGCCTAAAATAGGTCAAGTCACCTACCATTTCCTTTCCAAGTACTTTCTAAGCTGATCTCAAATACAAGGCAAAATTACTCAAGGCAAGGAAATATTTTGGCATTAAATTCTGAATCACTAGGGCACTTTTTTAATGATTTCAATATATTAGTTTTAAAAAGTGCTCCCAAACAAGACTTGTAGCTTATATACCACAAAAGTTTGGCTCCCGGGAGAAAAATTTCTAAGTAGGATCTGAAAAATCCTACAGGGTTATTAAATAATAATCACAGGAATTATTTACACTTAGAGGAACAGTACAAGCTGAGATCAGAGCAGGCAGAAATGCACAAGGCATTAGACTGCCTGTAAGAAAATTCTTTTTTTTAAGATTTTATTTATTTGCGAGAGAGAGAATGAGAGACAGAGAGCATGAGAGGGAGGAGGGTCAGAGGGAGAAGCAGACTCCCTGCTGAGCAGGGAGCCTGATGTGGGACTCGATCCCGGAACTCCAGGATCATGACCGGAGCCGAAGGCAGTCGCTTAACCAACTGAGCCACCCAGGCGCCCAGCCTGTAAGAAAATTCTTATCAATAATGGTTATTTAATAAACAAAATAAAACACCAAAGTCTTTAAAGACAGAAATATACTCTCATCTATCTGAAATGGGCTGGAAAAATTGCTTTTGAATTGACTAAAAGCAAGAAACTTTCCTGTATTTTTATGTCTCATAATTCCTATCTTGTATCCTATACTTCTTGTTTCCTTGGAAACCAGTAGAACATAGTATGAAATCAATTGTACCAATCTGCTTTTTTTGAGATTATATTATTGTTTCCTATAGCTATGAATATCAGAAAGCTTGGATATAATTTTCACAGAAAATATGTAACATACTGGTAAATTCACCAAAATGTGAAAAACAGATAACTGTAAGGTTCTAAAATCAGAAAAGGGTTTATCAATTACATGTGAATGGAACAAAAATTCTGGTGGTAATTTGACCACTTTCACTTTCTTAAGTCAGCTTTACAGTTCAATGCAATTTGTTGTGAACTGTTTCTGTGATTTAAGAATTTATGTAAAGTGATAATGACTGCATAGTTTATATACTCATAAGGTTTTCATGTCAAGAACACATCAAAGTTTATAATCAGAGAACTGAGTACTAAATCTTTTTCAGGGATAATGTCAGAAGAAATAGTATACAAAGATTTTTCCAACTGTCAGATTTTTAAAAATAATTAATTAATTAATTTTTAAAGGATTTTATTTATTTATTTGAGAGAGAGCATGAGCCCCATACAGGGCCCCATGCAGGGCTTGACCCCAGGACCCTGAGACCATGGCCTGAGCCCAAAGGACACTCAACCAGAACCTCCTTCAACTGTCAGATTTTAAAGCAGCTGAGGAATCAATTCAATTGCAGAATAGGGTGGGTACAAATTATTTAAAAATTCAATTAACACTTGTTTTGCAAAAACGTTTCAAATTATATTTTATAAAAGAAATTGATAGCTCTTGCTTTTCATGGTTTTATACTACTTTAAAAATGTTTCATAGATTTAATTAGGAATATGGGTCACATCCACATATTCAATTAATCTTAATAGCATGTAGTAAGTGCTATACCAGTGATGTGAGGGAATAATTGTGTGGAGGTTACAGGGTTCAGACTGGAAAGGTACTGGAGGCCCCTGAGATGAGTCAAAGTGTGAGAGAAAGAACAGCATGAGTGTATGGGCAATTATAAGAAAAGGTTTTTGATTATATGATCTCACGTATATAAAAGGCTAATATGCTCAGAGGCTAAAGTTAGCATTTCTTTCTTTTTTTTTTTTTTAAGATTTTATTTATTTATTTAGCAGACAGAGAGAGAGCATAAGCAGGCAGAGCGGCAGACAGAGGGAGAGAGAAGCAGACTCCCCACCAAGCAGAGAGCCTGACATGGGGCTTGATCCCAGGACCCTGGGATCATGACCCAAGCTAAAGGCAGATGCTTAACCAACTGAGTCACCCAGGTGCCCCTAAAGTTAGCATTTTCTTTTTAATTGTAGCAAAGTTTTCAGTAAATGCAGATTATAATTAAGATAGGTGACTATTAACCATAAATCCTAATTATTGAAATATACCTAAAATAATAATTTGAATCTGAATTTGTATAAATATTTATCATCAAGGCTTATAAAACGTGTAGGCAAGTTTAAAAAAATATATAATACACACACACATATAAAACATAAATGAACTACTTTATGGAGGCAGAATAGGTTACAGTGGCTAAAGGAAAAATGAAAGAAAACATCTTACATTTATAGATTTAATTATATATTTTTAACAAACTCCATTTTTATCCCCAAATATAATTATTAATTTATATTATGATAGAAAAATATTTTAAACTTTCAGTTAAAAAGTATAATCACTACGGGGCACCTGGCTGGCCTAGTCGGTAGAGCATGTGAGTCTTGATCTTGGGGTTGTGAGTTTGAGCCCCACATTGGGTACAGAGATTCATTAAAAATAAAATCTTTAGGGGCGCCTGGGTGGCTCAGTTGGTTAAGCGACTGCCTTCAGCTCAGGTCATGATCCCAGGGTCTTGGGACTGAGCCCCACGTCAGGCTCAGTGGAGAGCATGCTTCTTCCTCTCCCTCTCCCTGCTGTTCTGCCTACTTGTGCTCTCTCTCTCTCTGTCAAATAAATAAATAAAATCTTAAAAAAAAATAAAATAAAATCTTTAGGGACACCCAGGTGACTCAGTTGGTTAAGCATCTACCTTTAGCTTCAGGTCCTGGGACCGAGTCCCTCATCGGGCTCCTTGCTCAGGGGGAGCCTGCTTCTCCCTCTGCCTGCCGCTCCCCCGCCTTGTGTGCTCTCTTTCTCTCTCTCTCTCACTGACAAATAAATAAAATCTTTAAAAAAAATCTTAAAAAAAAAACCAAAACAAAACCCAAACTTTAGGACCTACCTAAAACATTAGGATTAAAAAATGGAAAAAGATATACCAAGGGAGTACTAATCAAAAGAAAACTGGTTTAACTATATCACTATCAGAAAACACTTTAATACAAAAAAAATTAAGATAAAGAATCTCAAAGCAGTGACAATAGGTTTGAGTCACCAAGAAAATATATTATCTCTAAATCTGTATTTATAAAATAATAATATAGACTCAAAATCTACAAAACAAAAATTGGTAGTACTAACTTTTAGAGAAATAGCTAAATACATAATCATGTGGAAGATTTCTCTTAATAAATGATAGCTTGATCAGAAAAAAAAATTAGTAAGATTTGAATATATATGAAGTTTAATCTAATGAATACATTGTATTAAATACTATACACAACAACTATAGTATATTTTCTTTCCAAACACATAATGACACAGTGCATTTTAAGAAATTTGTCTACCTACTGGGCCATAAAGCAAATTTCTCAACAAATTTCAAGAAATTAGCATCATATAAATCTATGATTAGGCTAGAAATCTGGAACAAAGAGAAAACTCCTAGGGAAAAAAATACACACAGAGATTAAGAAATACTTCTAAATGACTCTTGGGTTAAAAAAGAGATTATAATGGAAAATACTCTGAATTGAATCATAATAAAAATACCATATAGCAAATCTTGTGGGATACAGCTAAAGCAGCATGTGGAGGAAAATTTATAACCTTAAAATATGCTTATACTGTCCAGAAGTGAGGCTGAAAATAAGCTAAGCAAAAGTAGGAAAGTAAGACAAAATAAACCCAAAGAAAACCAAAAGGGGAAAAGAAAGATAAGAACAGACATTAAAAAACAGAAAACAAAATACAACAGAGAAGATTAATGAAGTAAAACAAATGCTCTTTAAAAAGATTAAAAAAAAAAAAAAAAACCTGACAAATCTCTGGTGAGGAAAAAATCAAAGAGGGGCGCCTGGGTGGCTCAGTTGGTTGGGCGACTGCCTTCGGCTCAGGTCATGATCCTGGAGTCCCTGGATCGAGTCCCGCATCGGGCTCCCTGTTCGGCAGGGAGTCTGCTTCTCCCTCTGACCCTAACCCCTCTCATGTGCTCTCTCTCATTCTCTCTCTCAAATAAATAAAAATAAAATCTTTAAAAAAAAAATACTTAAAAAAAAAAAAAGAAACTTGACTATAATTCACAACATACACAGATTAAAAAGAAAAATGATACCATCTTTTCAAAAAAAGGCAGAAAAAGCATTTTATAAAATTCACATCCATTCATGAGAAAGGAAAAACAAATCCTCTTAGCGAACTAGGAATAACAGAGTAAGAGAACGTCCTCAATCAGATGTTAAAGGGTATCACAAAACACCAAGAGCAGGGGTCAGTAAACTATAGCTTGGAGGCCAATCTGGCCTACTGTCTTTCTTAATAGTTTTACTGGAACACAGCTATGCCCATTCATTTACATCTTGTCTGTGGCTACTGCCCAAGGGCACAAGAATTGTGAGAGACTGTGGGGCCTGAAAAGCTTAAAGTATTTACTACCTGGCTCTTTAAACGAGAAGTTTACTGATTCTGACCTACAGTAAACATTCTACCACAAAGTCAGGTTGTGCCACTAATGAAATATCTTAGAAACATCTGCTTTTAACAGGTAAAAATACTATCTTACCTTTTGTAGAGTGTTAAATAGTGACTTGGAATTATTTTTAGAATTGGCCTGCATTGCTGTTTTATTTAATTTCAAATCCCTTTCACCTCGTGCTAATTCCTTTTTGAGTTTCTCTCTTCGTTGTTGGTCTGCATCTGATGGGGAAAACAAATCTTTTAAAATAAAGAAAACAGAAAAATTAAGGTTTTGGTCTTGGAAGCCTAATAAAGAACACATTTTTTTTCTTGCTAAAAATGTTTACACTATTGATATATAAATAAAAATCCACATACTTTTCTGTATAAAGAGAAGCTAACATATATTTAATTTACAGAAACTTTAAGTGCATTATTTAAAGAGCGTAAACAAGATGTGACAAATTGGCTAAGCCTAAGAGCTCAAAAAAGCAATTCCTAGCAGATATTCAGAGATACTGAAGGTGGGAAATGCTTGATGTGTTTTTTGTGACTCTGTCATCACCAAATGCAGAGTCTGAATTAGTCCATACACTCTCCCCCAAATGCAATATTATTGTCAGTAATATCACATGTCATTCAAATTTAAGTTTTACAGACTTTAAAAAGATAACATTTTCAATTAGGATAACTGATTTCTACTTCTCTTAACTGCTATTCATTTGGAAATGTAAATGAAAAAAGTGGTTTTGCACTTTAGAATGCTTTAGGTCAGGTATGAGTTATCAAAAATTTATCATTGTATGAAGGCTAAAAATGGTGAAATGAAACCTAGTCAAATTTCAAAGTTAAGAGGAGAGGAAAAGATGGTGGGGGAGTAGGGGACCCTATTCCAGCTGGTCCCCAGAATTGAGCTGGATATCTACCAGACCACTCTGAAAACCCACAAAATCAGCCTGAGATGTAAGAAGACAGATCTGGATCCCTACAAGCAGACTATCACAGGCGGTTGGTTTTGAGGTACGAAGCGGGAAGCCGTGATCCTGCAGGCAGATATCAGAGGATAAATGGAAGGGGGAGGGAGCCGTGGTGATCCTACACTGCCGGTGAGTGATAGCTTCCCATGCTGGGGACAGGGCACAGACTCACAGACCAGCAGCGTGGGGAAAGGACTTTAGGGCAGCCCCCCAGACTGAAACCTGGAGCTGCGGGGCTGCGGGAGCAAATTTGGGGTGGCTGGCAGTTTTAGAAGCACAAAGGGCAGAGATGAGCCCCCGTGCCCGACCTGGAGGCATGGACTGGGAGCGCTGCGGAGGGGTGCACAACCCAGGACGCTGCAGTTTATAGCACCACAGACAGAAACGGAGATAGTGTGGCCTGGAGAGCTCACTGAAGAACAGAGTGTGATCTCTCTGCTCTGAGGCAGAGGGTTGGAAACGATCTCTTCTGCTCTGACTCTTGGAAAAGACCTGGAAAGCCGCCAGGGAAAGCCACCAGAGAACAAAAGCCCCAAAAAACTGGTTTTCACTGAGCCCATCCCCTGCCACAGGAGCAAGGCAACTCTACCCAAACAGGGTTGCCTGAGTAACAGTGTGGCAGGCCCCTCCCCCCATAAGACAGGCTGGGAGAATGAGAGGCCATCAACCCTAAGGTCCCTAGAAAACAGGTGCATCTTGCTTGGGTTCTGGTCAATAATTTGGACACTCTACATTCCCTCAACTACCCCTCAACAGAATGACTAGGAGGAGGAACCCCCAAAATAGGAAAGACTTCTGTGACTTCTGCCACAGATTTACAAATGGATACAGAGATAACCAAGATGTCAGAGATGGAATTCAGGGTAGCAACTGTGAAGACAATAGCTAGAATGGAGAAATCAATTAATGGCAACATAGTCTCTAAGGGCAGAATGAAAGCTGAACTGGCAGAACTTAAAAATGCTATCAATGAGATCCAATCTAATCGAGATAATCTAACAGCTAGGGTAAGCAAGGCAGAAGAAGGAATTAGTGATCTAGAAGACCAATTAATAGACAAGAAGGAAAAAGAGGAGGCCAGGGAAAAACAACTCAAAATCCATGAAAATAGAATCAGAAAAGTAAGTGACACTATGAAACGTTCCAATGTCAGAATTATTGGGATCCCTGAGGGGGTGGAAAGAGAGAGAGGACTAGAAGATATATTTGAGCAAATCGTAGCTGAGAACTTCCCTAATCTGGGGAATGAAACATTCATGTCCTAGAGGCAGAGAGGACCCCTCCAAGATCAAGGAAAACAGACCAATGCCCCGGCATGTAATAGTAAAACTTGCAAATCTTAGAACCAAGGAAACCAGCTTAAGGGCAGTTAGGGGGAAGAGATTCCTTATGTACAGAGGAAGGAACATCAGAATAACGTCAGACCTATCCACAGAGACCTGTCAAGCCAAAAAGGGCTGGCAAGACATATTTAGGGTACTAAACGAGAAGAACATGCAGCCAAGAATACTTTATCTGGCAAGGCTGTCATTTAGGATGGATGGAGAGATGCAGAGCTTCCAAGACCAGCAGAAACGGAAAGAATATGTGACCACTAAGCCGGCCCTGCAAGAAATATTAAGGGGGGTTCTATAAAAGGAGAAAGACCCCAAGAGTGATATAGAACAGAAATTTACAGAGACAACCTATAAAAATAGGGTCTTCACAGGCAACATGATGACAATAAATTTGTATTATTCAATAATCACTCTCAACGTGAACAGCGTAATGCTCCCATAAAACAGCACAGGGTTACAGGTTGGATAAAAAGACAGGACCCATCCATATGCTGTCTACAAGAGACTCATTTTGAACCTAAATATACATTCAGACTGAAAGTGAAGGGATGGAGATCAATCTTCCATGCCAATGGACCTCAAAAGAAAGCTGGGGTAGCAATTCTTATATCAGACAAATTAGATTTTAAGCTAAAGACTGTAGTTAGAGACACAGAAAGACACTATATCATTCTTAAAGGGTCTATCCAACGAGAAGATCTAACAATTGTAAATATCTACACCCCCAATATGGGAGCAGCCATCTACATAAGCCAACTGTTAACTAAAATGAAGAGTCATATTGATAACAATACGTTAGTTGTAGGAGACCTCAATACTCCACTCTCAGCAATGGACAGATCATCTAAGCAGAAAACCAACAAAGAAACAAGAGCTCTGAATGACACGCTGGACCAGATGGACCTCATAGATATATATAGAACATTCCACCCTAAAACAACAGAATACTCATTCTTCTCGAGTGCACATGGAACTTTCTCCAGAATAGACCACATACTGGGTCACAAATCAGGTCTCAACCGATACAAAAGACTGAGATTATTTCTTGCATATTCTCCGACCGTAATGCTTTAAAACTAAAACCCAATCACAAGAAAAAATTTGGAAGAAATTCAAACACTTGGAAGCTAAAGACCACTCTGCTCAATAATGTTTGGGTCAACCAAGAAATCAAAGAACTTAAACAATTCATGGAAATGAATGAGAAAGAAAATACATCAGTCCAAAACCTATGGGATACTGCAAAGGCAGTCCTAAGGGGGAAATACATAGCCATCCAAGCCTCACTCAAAAAAAATAGAAAAATCCCGAATTCACCAACTAACTTTACACCTTAAAGAACCAGAAAAAAAGCAACAAGCAATGCCTAAGCCACGCATTAGAAGAGAAATAATTAAGATTAGAGCAGAGATCAATGAATTAGAAACCAGAAACACAGTAGATCAGATCAATGAAACTAGAAGCTGGTTCTTTGAAAGAATAAGATCGATAAACCACTGGCCAGACTTATCCAAAAGAAAAGAGAAAGGACCCAAATTAATAAAATTATGAATGAAAGGGGAGAGATCACGACTAACACCAAGGAAATAGAAACAATTATTAGAAATTAATATCAACAGCTATATGCCAATAAATTGAGCAACCTGGAAGAAATGGATGCCTTCCTGGAAACCTATAAACTGCCAAGACTGAAACAGGAAGAAATGGACAATCTGAATAGGACAATAACCAGTAAGGAGATTGAAGCAGTGATCAAAAACCTCCCAAAAAACAAGAGTCCAGGGCCTGACGGATTCCCTGGGGAATTCTATCAAACATTCAAAGAAGAAATAATACCTATTCTCCTGAAGCTGTTTCAAAAAATAGAAACAGAAGGAAAGCCTACAGACTCATTCTATGAGGCCAGTATGACCTTGATCCCCAAACCAGGCAAAGACCCCATCAAAAAGGAGAATTTCAGACTGATATCCCTGATAAATATGGATTCCAAAATTCTCAACAACATCTTAGTTAATAGGATACAACAATACATTAAAAGGATCATCCACCACGACCAAAGTGGGATTTATCCCTGGGATGCAAAGGTGGTTCAACATTCGCAAATCAATCAATGTGATAGAACACATTAATAAGAGGAGAGAGAAGAACCATATGGTCCTCTCAATTGATGCAGAAAAGGCATTTGACAAAATACAGCATCCTTTCCTGATTAAAACTCTTCAGAGTATAGGGATAGAGGGAAAAATCCTCAAGTTCATAAAATCCATCTATGAAAAACCCACAGCAAATATCATCCTCAATGGGGAAAAGCTGAGAGGCTTTCCCTTAAGATCAGGAACACGACAAGGATGCCCAGTCTAGCCACTATTGTTCAACATAGTACTAGAAGTCCTAGTAACAGCAATCAGACAACAAAAAGAAATAAAAGGTATTCAAATTGGCAAAGAAGTCAAACTCTCTTTGCAGATGACATGATACTTTATGTGGAAAATCCAAAAGACTCCACCCCCAATTACTAGAACTCATCCAGCAATTCAGTAATGTGGCAGGATACAAAATCAATGCACAGAAATCAGTTGCTTTCTTATCCACTAATAATGCAACTGTAGAAAGAGAAATTAGAGAAACGATTCCATTTACAATGGCACCAAAAACCATGAGATACCTTGGAATAAACCTAACCAAAGAGGTAAAAGATCTATACTCTAGGAACTACAGAACACTCATGAAAGAAATTGAAGAAGACACAAAAAGATGGAAAGACATTCATGGATTGGAAGAATAAACATTGCTAAAATGTCTATGCTACCCAGAGCAATCTATACCTTCAACGCCATCCCGATCAAAATTCCAACGACTTTTTTCAAAGTGCTAGAACAAACAATCCTGAAATTTGTATGGGATCAGAAAAGACCCCAAATTGCCAAGGAAATGTTGAAAAAGA